TGCCTCACACATGCAAGGCAAACACTCTACAAACGGAGCTACAATCCTAGTCCCCCTTCTGTGAAATTCTGAGCTCCTCAAGGGCACCTTCCTCTTCTAGAAATATCTTCCTGAACCTAAACAGATAGTATTCAATTAAATGGTGGGGATATCTCGTGCCTGCATTTAAGTTCTATCTCTGCTACAGGCTGGAAGAAATGTCAGAGGGAGTGGGAGTCCTGTTATGTGACCTATAGTTAACTTCCTATGTCATAAACAAAGAGCTGATTCTTGAACACTGACTTTGGGAGAAATGTCACAAGCCCTAATCACAGACTCAAAGGAGCTTAGATTCCACACTAGGATTTTTGGAGGCAGAACCCTCCCCTTTTGGCAACCCATGTTGGCTCCTCCCCTATTGTCTGCCCACCATAGGCCTCTCAGGCCACCCAGGGCTTACAAAGGAGCTGTGTATGCTTTGCTGACTCATGGTGTTTCTGGGTGAGGACCTTCTCAGAGAGACCAAAGGGGTCATTTCTCACAGGAAACAGGGAGTAGTAGCCTGGGTCAGGCTAGGCTTTGAAAAACCTTGTGAACAACTGCAGGCAATGAAGAAAAAGAGGAAAGTGAATGTGTACAGCAGCCCAGCCTTGCTATTTTTCCTCCTGTCTTAAAGAATTTTGATTGACAGAAGGACTCCCCATTCAGTGGTTTTCTTTGTTCATTTCAGAGATAAATACATTTGAAATGGAATTAACACAATATAAATGAAAACCATTTTAAAGTACATGATTATGTGGCATTTAGTACATTCACAATATTGTGCAATCATCATCTCTAATTCCAAAATATTTTCAACTCCCTAAAAAAAAATCTCATACTGAAAGGTGACTCCTTCTCTGCACCCCTACTCCACCTTCTACAACAACCAACGTGCCGTCTCTATGAATTTGTTCTAGGTGTTTCACAGAAATGGAATCCTACAATATGTGACCTTTGCATCTGACTTCCATCTCAACATAATGCTTTCACATTCACCCACACTATAGCAGAAATCAGTACTTCAT